ATGTGGTGAAATTATCTTTCGAGTTGTACTAGCTCTTCCAGAATTTGACCTTAAACATTTCATAGCCACACAAGTAAGCAAAAGAAAATAATTCCATTGTGTTAAAGATATTTTTGTGTTAATGTGTGTGACCTAGCCAAACTGAAGAGACAAACTCTTTAACGTTATTTACATGTTATAGTTTTGCTTTTTACTTGTAACCTGTGGCATGCCCTCATTTTAACTTTAGATGGTCCAAGACTAAATGTGCTTTTTATCACAGCAGCTAGAAAAGGAAAAACAAAAAAACATACCACAATATTTTGTGTTTGCTGACGAGCACTCAAAAAAGATTTATCTTTGCTGCAAAATTAGACAAAAATTAGAAGTGATTTTGATTAACCTCACATTGTCACCCATCTACCTTGATCTGACTAATCCACATTGTATAAATGCACACAATTACAAATATTACACACATGGCTCAAACTTTTAGCATAAAGTTCAAATTATTAAGAGGTATAAGATGACAAAGATAGTAAATTCTTTATTCGAACCTAAAACATATGCTAAAATACTTTTCTGTATAAACACCAATGCCCTTTTTATTATTAAGTGCAAAACTGCAGTTTTGTCTAGTACTGTTTTATAGTGTCGCTAAGCCCCGCTGGAAACCCAATCAATAAGAGCCCCTCTAAGATGAGACACTGCATCTTTAGAAGATATCATTCAATACATTTAATCAAATAAACTTTATCAGAATGTTTTATATTTTCTCTCTGAAACATCTCTGTGGTTACCAGATGCAACTTTACGCATGCACAAAATAAATCTAATGCAATCCCTATGGTGCAATATAAAACACTTTTCTGTCATTTACAAAAATAATATTAAACTATAAATTATGATACTGAAACACTTCAGTGTTTAGATCACTGTAAATACATTATTTTGATATTATGTTTACCCACCTTTATACTCCTGTATGTAAACAATTTAAACAAAAGGCCATTAGTTATTGAGGTTCACCTTTAAAATGCAGTTTTAAATCAAAATTTTGAAACATTTCTCTAAAGTTAGAATAATTTGAGCTAAAGATTATTTACTGAAATCGAAAATTGCACAACTTTTATATATATTTTTTTTTAAATAAAGGTCTGGTGATTTCTTATATGTTTTCAAGGAATCTTGACATTGCTGTCATTAAAAAATAATACTTTTTTAGACCCATTCTCTTTATATGAGCACACACACACATGACTTAGATGTAATACAGTATTTTAAATATAACAGAGTTTTAAAGTATTAATGCTACATAAAATAATGTCTGTACTTCTTTGATTTTGGTGATTTACTGAACAGAATTGTAGTCAGTTTTGTCTGTTCTAGGTTTTCTTTCTATGTTTAAAATGAATTTTGAGCAGCCAGAGCATATGCACTGAGAATATGAATCTGAATTTGACTTAGAAATCAGATTACATCCAAATGTAATTTCTGCTCAGGTTTTAAAACAAATTTGATGTGGTATTGGAGTTTGTGGTACTGGAGCAAATCTGGTTTTAATAAAGAAAGATTCATGCGGGTAGTCTAAGCATAGTTTATGTGAATGTCCTTTTGCAGTAAAGCTGCTTCGATCTCCAGGGTGCAGCTGCATTATCTTCCACAATAATACAAGAAAATCATGCCCTGTGCACTCAGATCTGACACAGGCCAAAGTACCGTATTTTCTGGCGAATAAGTCGCATCAGTCCAAAAAAAGCATCATGAAGAGGAAAAAACATATATGAGTTGTTTCAGCGTACAAGTTGTGTTTATTATGCATCACCGCTGACACCTGGGAAACATGGGTCGGTGTTGTGCCAAAAATCGATTGATGGGTGCACACATGGGAGGACTCACTGTTGCAGTTCTTCGAAATTTAACAAGATTAACAATTAAAAACTATTATTTGTTTGCTCCTTTGTTAGCAAAGGTTTGTTTCAGTTTAACTTTTTCCTTATTAAATGCACTTTAATGTTCAATGTTTGGTGGGGGGGCAGCGGGAGCGGTACAGGAACAACATATATGCCTAACGGTAGTTGTCAAAAGCCTAGAGGGCCCGCTCGCACGTCTAGTAGCTGCAAATGGTAATGTTTACTCTGGTTCATGTCTGTGTGAATGAACAATTAAAGCGTCAGTCAAAAATTGTGTCATGAATATGGAAAAAGAAACATATATAAGTCGCATCAGCATATAAGTCGCAGGACTGGCAAATCTATGCAAAAACCTGTGACTTATACTAAAATACGGTACTTTGGGGCCCTGTTACATTGAATGTAAATGTAAATGCGGACTTTTACATGGCAAGTAATTTTAATTTCATCACATAAATGGTGGATAGAAAACCACTGTCATATTGTTCAATGAAAACAATATATTTTACTATATGTCTACCATATATAACGTCCAACTTTGTGCAGATAAATCTTAAAAATAAATTAACATTAAGTGCTACATCATGCAAGGATGGTGTTATTGCATAATGTAGATAAATCATTGTTTAATGGTTAAAAAAATCAGCTACTATCACAATTGTTGAGCGTTTAAAAATAGTTTCAAGGAGAATCAAGGGTTTTCAGAGTAATGTCGTTTATGGTTGGCTTCACAGTATCCTATCCTTCTTCCATTGTCCCCATTCCTCTGCAGTTTGTTTCCTGAACTTGCTCAGTCTGTTCAGTAGCTTCACTGAAGTGTAAAACTCGTTTTCAGTTCACAACTCTGTCATCATAATAAAACGTTGTGCCACCAGTGCTTTCATAAAAAGACAAAAGCAAGTTATTTTTAGGATAAGGAGAAGTGTCAAATGTAAAAAAAAATGACTAGCTCTGGCTCACCTTACAGTTCTGCTTTCATCAGCTTGTCATTGTTCCTTTTCGATTAAACTGCAGAAATATTCTTTCTACATCTTTCTTTGTTTCGGCCTTTCTCATGGTTAAAATCCTTCCAACACTAAACTAAGTTTTCCTCTCTGCACTATTCTCCTGAGCATCTTTTATTCAGGTGTGTGCTTGTGTTAGACAAACAAAAGACAGGGACAGATAACTGCCTCCAGCAAACTGAATGTAGCAAACAGAAAGCTAGAACGCTGCCTTCGTTTTTAACTTTTCAACACATTTATGCAAACCTAACTTATTTTTTTACATGTGCTTGTGTGTGTGTGTTTGTCCAATCTGTTATTATTAAAGTGCAAAATAGTTAATCCACTAATCTTTATATTTTGTTTTTACTGCAACAAAATATTTTGGCACTAATTACACTTTTATAATTCAGTTTGTAAGCAATAATTTTAAAGTCAAAGTGTTTGTACTTCAAGCATTAAATACATACATTTTTCATATTGTAGTGTAAATTAAGGACAACTTTTATCTAGTTAAAATCCTCTATAAACCTAAAATACTGTGACTCTTTCCGGTTTGGCTCAGCAGCCTTAAATTAGATAATCAAAACAGAAAATAAAATTTGATTCCAAATATATGATTTGTTGTGCTATGTACATCAGCTGAACCTGTGTCAGATGAGAGTGGCAACCAAGCAGATGGTTCTGCAGACTCACTCATATCTACTCACTTCTTTGTTCCCATTTCATTACGCAATAAACTCCAGTTATGTCCTCTCTGGGAATCAGGGTTGATTGGAAAATTAGGAGAGTTAAACGCTTCAATAATCTAAACTATCCAGGAGCTTTGCAATTTGTAAACTACTTTGAAGTTTGGGCTTAACTTTTAATCGTACACAGTGAGTAAATATTTCTTTGTGTTTAGTTGTCTTACAAGACAAAGATTCAGCTTGTACCTGCCTCTTAAGTACCGGTAGTTTCGCTTCAGAGGCAGCCACTTCTGCCACTTAATTATATGCTGCTGGTACCGGAAATACAGTACTTTGGAGTTGTTTCAAGGGTCTATAGTGAAAACTAGAAGAAAAAAAACTGCTTAGACATTCATACTGTGTGCACAATGTACAAGATTCCTCATAAATAATAGACTGATTATGAGCTCTTAAAATAGATTCAGAGGCTAACAACTAAAGTCTCAATAGGATTCCTGTTTAATATACTATATTTACAAGTGTAATATTACACAGCAAAATCTATATAACCTTTGTATAATTTAATATGATAACATAGCTTATGGAAAAACTCTACCACAGTACAGATTGGGTGCTACTGTATCAACAAAATGGCTAACGAGAACTTTGGCCTGATTTTGTCCAAATGCCTGAACAAGGTAAATCAATGACTAACTTTTAGCCCGAAACACAATAAAAAACAAGCCAGAGGTCAGCCAAGGCTCACAGTTTCATTTAACAATCTATACAAGATACTGTTGTGCTTTGCGTTTTGTTCTAAAACTAGCAAAAAGTGTTTCATTTATTACCTTTGTTGTTGTTTCATTCACAATAAAAACGGTTATTTAGCTAAAAAAAATGTTTTGTCTCATTTATTTTTCTCTAGGTATTTTTTCACATTTGATTAAATAACTCTTTGTGTGCCACTTTCTTCTTCAAGAGTTCCTACGCAAACTTTTTTTTTTTCCAACTAGCTTCCTGATCACTAGTCTTCTATGTATTGTCCAAACAAGATGCAAATTTATTTGCATCCCATTTGCATTCACTTGTGACCTGAGTCAGATTGAAACCTGCACAAAGAGAACGAGACTAAAACAAACAAACAAACAAAAAAAAAAGTCTGTTTCTATTCAGTACCAAAGATCTTTTGTTTTCTACTCATGTATTTAAAATGTTCTCTCTATGTTGCACTCACTACACAGACTGAAGTGAAGTTTTATTAGCTAGCTTCTTATGATAGAACAGATTTAATAGGCAGAATTTGTGTCCATAAGGGGCAACTCAGTCTTGGCTCAAAATATTTGATAAAGGAGGAGATTAACCTATTTCCCCTGCACTTGGTGGACAACTACCTTTACAGCTATAGTCATACAGTGATACAGTCACATACATATATATATATATATATTACTGCCCCTGGTGCTTACCAATGCCATTGCCTCACTTTAGTCTCCATCTTTATTCTCCCCTCCCCTCTTAGCTGTATCCGAGGTTCTCCATCTCATGGCGATATCTTAACTCTGACACTTTGGCTTTGTGCTGCTTGCTCTCCAGATGCTGTCTGAAGTCTATTTCCTGCTCGGCTCCGCAGTTGCACATGGAGCAGTAGAACTGTCCACTGGGAGTTACACACATGGCTAAATCCCTGGGGATGCGCTGCCTCGGTCTGGGGTTGTAGTATGGACCTAGGAGGACCAGAAGAAGCAACAAGAGGTGGGAGAGAAATTAGTAGCAGCCACACATGAAGAGGATGATACACTTGAGGTATAGCTACCATGACAGGAAGGGCATTGAATTGCAGAACTAAAGATAAAAACATTTTCAGTAGTCCCTCGCTACTTCATGGTTCCTTTATCAAATCGTTCGATCTATCGCAGATTCGTTCTATTGCAGTTTTTCAAAATAAGATTGGACATGACACACAACTGGTACTTTGTCTAGCCCTTAATAATAATAATAATAATGTCATCACAATGTCAGCACTGTATGTTTCCATACAATGGCAAAATTAGTCTCTGCATTTAACCCATCCACCACCAGGTGGTGCAGTGGGCAGCTATTGAAAGCGCCCGGGGGGGCATTTTGGGGATGAGGCGTGCTGCCCAGAGACGCCACGTAATGTGCAGTGACTGGGGATCGAACCTGGGACTTTTGGGTCCCAAGCCGGCTGCCCTGCCTCTACACCATCTCAGCCCCAGGATAAACTTTCTGCTACAGTTGAAGAGCTGATCAGCTGTTCAGCCTGCAGAGCTGGGAAGTGGGCGTGGCCAAGAGCGCTTGCAGGTGGCAAAGAGCAGAGGAGGCAAGGAGCTGAAATCATGACATTCTGTGCTCTTAGAGCATTTAGAGTTTAGAAACATTGTTTAGAATATTGCAAGAGTATAGGAAGGGTTTAAAACACCTTTATATATATCTATATAAATAATAAA